AGGAAAAAGAAGAGGCGTAGGTAAGACCCTAGCTAGTCGGCTCTAGAATGTTGTCTTTGTCCCACAAGAGGCCCCCTAGCTTGCCTTATACTTGGTCGAGCTAGGGTTACATTGCTCGGGTCGGACTAATTGTGGGTTCGCGCCCCTTGGTCCCTTGGGTCGAATCGGACCATGCTGTGTGTGGGTAGCCGCCTGCTTCCTTGTCTCCCAAGATGGTTTGACTCATCACCTTGGTCGATGTTGTAGCTGACCCTATGCTTGTCTGGCATGTCCGAGTGTCATATCCTTGTCAGTAGCCCCTGATTACCGTGTGACCTACCTGGCGGGAAGTCGCCTGCCTAGGACTTGTTGAATTTCTGCAAAAAAGGATGAAGAGAGAAGGAAACAAAAGCCTATCGATGACCTCCCCGTCGGGCAAGGACGCCGTGGCGGTTGAGTTACGAGCGGGTAAGACTCGGTGGTATCCAATTACTTCAAGCGGGTGGAGTCTGGCTATCTATGTTTTTAAGGCGACGCCTTACCGCCTTAGGGAGGGGGGGCGCTTTGGTGCCTAGGCGGGCGCTTTGGACGCCTAGGCGCCCAAAGCGGTCGATTTTCCAAAGCGGAGGGGGAGCGCTTCGACGCCTAGGCGTCGCCTTAGGGCCGCTTTAAAAACATAGCTGGCTATTGTCAGTAGTAGGTCAGAGTCTTGAGTGGCACCTGTTAGTCTGGTCGGGCCAGTATAGAGGTAGTGTCCTCGGGGAACACCCTCACATCTCTTTATGGAGCCGAATCTCTAATCACGGTGCCGGATGCCCTTTGTTAGGGGTCGAGCTCGTGACCCATGGAGGGTGCATCGTCACCGCCCTACTCCGTAGTGTATCTGGGTAGCCTAGACCGCGGGGGTCAACCATCGATACCCATGATTGACGACGCCTGAGTCCTAAATAGCTAGTCTTTGACTAGGGCCTATGGGAGACTCGCCTCTCAGGTCTTGCAAAGTCCTATTGGAGGCTTGCCTCTCATCTTCTGCAGTCTTTGCGAAGTCCTGCGTGATGGCGCATGCCACATCTGCGTTTCAGCAGCCCATGGCAAAAGGGCTGGAGGTTCTCACCGCCCCGTTGTTGGATTGAATATGCGGGGGAGCGAAAGCGTGTGTAGCTTGGGCTTGCCTCAATCTTCGAGGCGGGGCCATGAATGCGCCGTCTTCTTGGCGACGTGTGTCCACCTTGGTGGGCGCATGCGTGCCAGGGCGGGAAGGTTGGTGTCGGGGCGCGGGGCTTGACGGAACACGACGCCCGTGTTTCCTCCCTCACCCCCTTGTATAAATCAAGGGGCAAGGGGAAGGCAATGCCTTTCACCTGCAAGTCCATCGTTGTTGCAAACCCTTCCCGCTGTGGCCTGGCCGTTCTGCCCGCGCATCACCCTCCCAAGCTAGTAGCTGTCGCTTGTCTGATCTTTTCCATCCGGTGACGGCCACCGCTAGCCCATTCTTCCACCGCTTCTTCGACCCTAGATCTGCGCCTTTCCCATCTTTTTTTCGACCGCTAGTGAAGCTCCTTTGTTAGTGGCGGACAAATAACCCATGGGGATGCTCTCTGATGCTACCTGTGGTAGGACAGAGCGCTACCTGTGGTAGGACAGAGCGTCCGGTGACATCACAGATGGAGTCTCCTGTGAAGCGATGCCGTCCTTTAGCTGGCTCTACCCCGTCGATGCCTTCCGCCGTTGGGTGGGCGAGACTTGCGAGCTGCATCCCGAGATCCAATGTGTAAACTTGGAATGAACCATGGCGGCAAACTTACTATAGATAGACAAGACCTCACTACGAGAAGATAAAATATATCCATGTGTGTCAAGAGGAATCATTTATAAAGATAACATAGTAGCGATGGCCTCCTTTCCAGGCAAAGGGAGTTGGACTCCGCACTTGACAGTCTCGCTAAGACACACCACCGGAGACGGATCTAAGAACACCATGTCAGACTAAGGATGAGAGGCGAGACCCGCATAAGTGACCAAGACGATGATGCCATCTTGAGAACAACTCGTAAACAAGGCCAGGCAAAGGGAGTTGGACCCCACACTTGAGTGAACAAGATTGAAAGTACGCTTATGCGGTCTCGCTAAGACACACCATCGAAGACGGATCCAATAACACCACGTCAAACTAAGGATGAGAGACGAGAGCCGCATAAGTTTCCAAGAGGATGATGCCCATGTTGAGAAGAGCCCGTAAACAAGGTGTCCGAGGCGGACAGACTGGCGGCGGTGGCAGCGGAGGGAATGTGAAGCCAATCAGCTCCCAGAGACCTTGGCAATGATGACAGCGAGGGCCAGCACCAAGTAGAGTGCCCGTGTGATGATCTTGAATAGAGCAAGATTCAAAGTCAAGAATGACCCTACAAGCGGAGTCAACAATCTGACCACCAGAAATGAGTTGCATGGTAAGCCGAGGAACATGAACAAGATCAGAAACATGAAAGGCGAAGTGCTAGATTGCCTTGGCCATTGACCAAGAGGGATGTACCATCAACAGTAAGAACATGAAATGAGAATCTAGTGGCCAAATAGAGGACAAAGTTGATGAATCATGAGTCATATAAAAAGATGCTTCAGTACCAAGAATCAATGATGATGTACCTACCTGTGTAGAAGGTGGTCTCACAATGCCAAAAGAGTTGGTAGTAGAACCAACAAAACCTGTCAATGGAGAAACGGGATACACAGATAGTACGCGTCGTAGTTGCGTAATTTCCTGCTCAGACAAGGGCTCAACTAAAGAGATCGACGTAGATCCACCTGACAATGGAGAACGAGAGGCAACAAACAGGCCGTGAACACATGCAACCTCGTGCTTATTGAAGGACACAGCTGAAGTAGTTGACATAGAAGCTTCGAGAGAGGAGCGGCCACCATCACTTGTGGAAGCCGCTAGAGTAGGCGGAATAGCATGACCAGTATCACTTGCAGAAGCCAGACGAGGTCGCATGCAGACAAGCACCAAGTGCCAAGGGAAGGCGCATGTGTGAGGCGTAGACAATGGAGCGATATGCACCAACACTGTCGGTGAAAGTCCCGAGGAGTCGGTGTACAATGACAATCACCATGCGCGGAGGTCGCAAGAGGAGTCTGAAGAATGACCACCACGGCCTGTGGAAGGCGTCAGAGGGAACGACCTCACATGTGGATGAGCACCAAGCACCGAGGAAAGGCGCGTGTGCGAGATGGGATCAATGTAAGGAACACTGTCAAGAACCAACGGCGGCGAGGGAGGTGTGTACCTACAAAAACTTCATTCCTGTTTTTTTACTTTGAAGGCCAGTTGAATGCAGTCACGCACAACGCTCAGAGACGGTGCATGCATACAAGAGGTCGTAGCTGCCGGGACCAGCGGGTAGCAGAAGCAACATCCGACAAGTTGTTGGCAGGAAGCTGCAGGTGCAACAACAGCGGGACGGCTGGATCCACCGACAATCACGGATGGCTGGAGCACTCGTCGACCTCGGAGGTGGAGTACGGTGGTAGGGGGTGGGCGATCGGGGACCTGCGGCCCAGCGGGGGGAGGTAGTGGGTGGCAGTGGGGGATAACCTGGAGGGCGGCGGCATGGCTTGACCTGAGACATGCTGAGGTTGGCAACGCAGAGACCTGAGGTGGGAGATGCAAGTTGGATAGAGAGAGAAATTTGGATGGAAAGGGGAGGAGGCAGCGATGGCCAGCTAAGAGGGGGATGGTGGTAGCATGAGTTTGAGATTGAATCGGAGCATGAGTTGCGTGTGTGGAAGAAAAAACCTAGAACTCTAATACCATGTATGGAAATATGCAACTCGTATATGCAGGTGGCCATAGGCCAGTATATGTACACGTATAGGTATGGTACAATATGCAGAAAGCCCTTTATAGAACGGGGAAAATACAAATGGTACATGGCTAAATACTTATAGCTCTAAGAGGCCCTTTGGTTAAAGGTCTAACCCAAGGCAATGCTAAATTGCTAATATCTGCTCTCATAATTTAATACGACAGCAACAACAACCAAACCTTTTAGTCCCAAACAAGTTGGGTAGGCTAGAGGTGAAACCTAGAAGACCTTGAAACTAACTCATGGTTCTGGCACATGGATAGCTAGCTTCAGTACACCCCTGTCCATGGCTACTTCTTTGGTGATATTCCAGTCCTTTCAAATCTCGCTTAACGGACTCCTCCCATGCCAAATTTGGTCTACCCTGACCTTTCTTGACATTGTCTGCATGCCTTAACTGTCCTCTATGCACTCGCGTTTATGGAGGCCACGTATATCCTCATTCCAGAGCCGATCCTTGTGTTGGACATGTATCCATCCCAAACATGTGCATCTCTGCTACACCTAACTGTTGGACATGTTGTTTGGCCCAACATTCAACGCCATATGACATAGCGGGTTGAATCGCTGTCCTATAGAACCTGCCTTTTAGCTTTTGTGGCACTCTCTTGTCACACAGAACACGCCAGAAGCTTGGCACCGCTTCGTTTCAGGGCGCACCTCTTGGTTGGCTTGCCATATGAGTTATGTTCTCTTTATGGTTTCTTTTGTTAAACTATTGTTGATATGAGTTAACTCAAAGGGCATATGTCATACAAATTCTAGTTTTTTCTTGAAAAATTCATACAAATTCTACTCCCTCCGTTCCAAATTACTCGTCGCAGAAATGGATGTATCTAGAACTAAAATACATCTAGATACATCCATACCTGCGACAAGTAATTCGGAACGGAGGGAGTAGTTGGTATGGTACACGTATTCTTCTTTAGTTAAACTCTATTGGGTGGCCTATTAGCATCATTACAAAAAATATCATTACTTATGGATCATTCCATGGTATAATCTTGTTCTCTGTTTAACTGCTGATTTTTTTTTGCAAGTTATTCAGTATTCAAGCAGGCACCCTTCAAAGCCTGCATATGATTGCATTCCCTCTAATCAATCCAGTATCATGCTGTAATCACCACCATTTCTTTTCTTGTAATAGAAGATTTTACAATGGATAACTTTACCATACCCAGTGTTTGCTGGTTTGAGCCAACCGCACTATTCAGTCATTACAGCACACAGTCAATGGGTTTGACAATCTGCTGCCAATGGTTTTCTACTTTTAAGCAGTTCTTCTGGTTCCCTGGTTGGTAATATGTGACGTACCCTGCTATTTTTCCATGATAATTCCTCAATGTTTTTTTGGCTGTATTGATATTTTCCAAAAATGTTACTGTTGACTTTGCATCTAACGTAGGTTTGTTGTTTTTGTGCTTTATATCTGTGCCGTTGTCATAAAATCATGTCAGCTGGAAAATTGAGTACCATCTACGTTGGAAGATATTGAACGTTGATTAGCATCTTGTTATTTGCTATGATTATGGTGTTTATTGCACCCAAAAGGACGTTAATCTATGAAAAATACCATTTCGTCAAGGTTTTCCTATGCAGTTGATTTCCTTGAAGGATATAGTTAACTTCTCTTCATTTTTTACGGGGTTAATTTTTCTGTGAGTGGGTAAAAGAAATATTATCATTGAATGACTGATCGTTTGTGTTCCTTGCTAAGACCTTCACTCTGTTTTGTCCTTTGCAGGTATTCTATAGTTAAAGCATTCTGCATTGCTTTTGGCATGACATTCTTCAGTGTGTTCGATGTGCCAGTGTTTTGGCCTATCCTTCTTTTCTATTGGGTGGTGTTGTTTACTGTCACAATGAAGCGTCAGATCCTTCATATGGTGAAGTACAGATATGTTCCATTCACCTTTGGGAAACAGGTACCTTAGATAAATCATTTCAGTTAGTTCTACAACTTGCTCACATAATCGTAATATATGTTATATTGTTGATGTTTTGGTTTATTTGTCAGCGTTATAATGGGAAAAGGGCAGCTTCTGCAGATGATCTCACACTTCCCAAGGATTAAATATATGGGAATTTGGAATGGTGAAATGCTTTTGTTAGTTATGAAAACGTAAGAGAGAAATTGCTTATAGTGGCTGCACCCTACCGGTAGCTCCTCACAAAGATCTGAACGTTGCAATGCTAACATCAAGCATTATGACCTCACTAAACCCTGATATCTTCACAGTGCTGAGAATAGGCCTTGGTGGCCTAACCTGGATTTCTGTATTCCCATGGTGTTTCCCCGTAGTGGGGCACGGAGCTAAATGACTGTACACATTTGTTGCTCCGTATTTCATTGTATGTCATATATAACGTGGAGAAGATGGCCCAGAATCATGTATACTTCCGTCAAATGCTTTATTCAACCATCGTTTCTTGCCGGCGCAATTGCCTTGCTTTTGCAGCGTGAATAATATTGATGGACTTTGTTGAGTTGGTTTACTATTTCTTAACAATTTACTGAGGTAGTACTAACTAAGAAAGGAATAATTTGTCTCGTCTACTCCCTCTGATCTAAAATGTCTTCACCCCCTTTCCTATCGAAATATATGATGTTTTTGCAGTTCAAAAACGTCTTATATTTTAGTACAAAGGTAGTATTAGTTTACAGAGGTAGTACTAATTTAGTACTAATTAAGAGGGAATAACAGAGGTCCAAAACGGAAAAAACTTACATAGGGTGTTATGCATTCGAACGCCGGTCCTCAAAACGGACATAGTACTCCCTCCGGTCCTTTTTACTCTGCATATTAGAATTTTCTAAAGTTAAACTTCACAAAGTTTGACCGTATTTATATGAAAAAATATCAACATTTGCCATGCTAAAGTTATATAATATGAAAGTCATGACACATCTAGTGATATTGATTTCAGATTATGAATGTTGACACTTTTTTCTACAAAGTTAGTCAAACTTTACGAGGCTTGACTTCAGTCAAATCTTATATGCGAACTAAAAAGGATCGGAGGGAGTATTTATTTATGGATGCGTGAACGCTGGTCCCCAAAACGGACATAGTATTTATCCGTGGCCATCCAACACTCCTAAATCTTCGCCCACCATGGAAACAAACTTGAACAATACAAACATAATTCATGCAATATGACTGGAATTCATGCAAATAGACATATAAGTTCAATCTATTTTACATAAACTAGTCATATAAGTAAAATATATTTGTCATAAACTAGACGATATTTGCTTGTTCAACTTCAACTAAAACGTAAAAAACCCTAAACTAACTTGTAGCGGACGGGGACCTCGTATGCCTGGCCGGCGGCACCTCCTCGTCGGAGTGGTCCTTCTAGTGGCGGAAAGGCCCAAGGACGCGGCAGCCCTGCCCGACGCTCGCTGAGAAGCTGCTCCGCTTCCTCCTAGGCCTGCGGAGGGCTGCCTTGGCCAATGCCGATCGGAAGCCCTGTCCTTGCCCGTGCCATCGACACAATAGTGAAGGTGTCGCGGAGCGACCAATCCTCCCAGATCTTCGCAACCACTTCGTCGAGCTGGTAAGCGAAGAGAAGAGGATGTGGAGTGTGGTGCGGACGACGCTTGAACCATGCATAAGTAGGCGTGGCCAGGCGAGCAAATGGGCAACCGGGTTCAATGCGGCTCACCAGCCGAAGTAGGCTTCTCGGTCGCCGCATCGGCACTGAAGCGGCGTCGCCCACTTGTCCGGTCTCGTCACCCTGACCGACATCAATGCCGTGTGGAGTCATGTACACTCTACAGTGGGTTGACCGACACAATTGCATGGCGATTGCTTCGCGTAGAGAGGTTTTTTTGGTGGGGTCGGCTGTTGGACACACTAGATAATACCCCGCGCGTTGCCGCGGGAATGCGTAGACACATATTTGTAGTATTACATGCAAAAATTTATGCACATAATCATCTCATGAAAAAATGTACCGAAAACTATTTTCAACATGCCTAATGGATTGCCACGGGCACACAAAAAATCTTATGGGCAATAAGTCTCACAGAAAGGAAATGACACCAACCATGCTGATGAAAAAGTGGTTTGAATACTTATAGGATGTGGCTCACTGTTACATTTTCTGCTGATCCCTAGCACTTCATATTAAGAATCAATCTCATCAATGTGGAAGTTTTTTGTTAACTACAAAAGAACGAAAAGTTCATTTAGAAACTTAGAATCGATACAACTAACAACTACAATTGCATGGAAGCGTATTAACCATAAAATGAGCATCTTTATGTTCGCAATTACATATCCTGAAAGAAACATGTGGAATGGACTTAATAATAGTATTCCTATATATTATATGGAAATACCATAGCAAACTGAGTGAAACGATTCCTAAAAAAATAAAAACAATATTGTACAGCAAAATAACTTAAGCATGTTTCTATTGTGAAGCACGGTGTATCCTAAAGCATCGGGTTTCTCCAATAAATGAAAAAGAAGTCTCACCTCAGTTATGTAAGGGTGCAATAATAATTTACCATGCCTTCTCCAGAAGTCTCACCTCGGTTATGTGAGGGTGCAATAATAATTTACCATGCCTTCTCTAAATGGGAAAGATGTAGCAGGCAAGAAAAAATGTGTCAACAAATGAAAAATCAGGATCAAGTAGTACAAAACTATTAACTGAGAAAAAAGAAGCATGTATATGTATTGCACAAAAGTAATGTATTTGGCCACCTCAGTGAATCATTTGATGAATGAGTTAATAGGAAAAGAAAAACAATAGGCAAAATTTCAATATATTCAAGATGGACATATATTGAAATTTGATGCTTCTATATCTATCATAGACTCTGCAAATACATATAAATCGATGCTTTGTTATATAATGACCCATTTGGAAAAGCAGCTTGACAGTAACATGTTGGATGGAGCAAACTGCAACTTTTATGCTAATAGATGTCGCGAACAGTATAGTTACAAAATCAGAGGAAAAGGGCTGCACCTCAGTGAGTATAATAACACAATATAACCTGCAATAGACATAGTTAAGTGAAAGGTTTAATTAGGGATGAACAAAATTTAGTCTGTCACCAAAATAAATCCCACCCTGTGCCAAAAAAAGAGGCATCACTAATCCATTCAACAACAATCTGGGAGTCCGGGTGGCTAGGAATGGAAAGGCGACCCGGTCCGTGTCCCAACTCCCATAGAGAGATGCAGGTGAGATAAACTGTCAGGTGTGTCGGAGGAGCTCAGGAGCAGAGGAACTGCGTGTACACGTCGATTCAGCTGTGCCTTCCTTGCCGATCTCAGTGGCCGGCAATAGATCCAAGGAGTGCACTTCACGCGGAGATCACCTACCAGTCGCCGGACTCTGCTGCAGCTATGAAGAAACTGGTTTCTTTTGTTTTGAGTGAGAGAGAAAGCTGACCATGGACAACCGTGAGTTGTGTGCAGGTAGGGGAAAAGCTTACCTTCTTTTATGGAGCGCTGCTTACATGAAGTAATTTCGTTTTAGGTGAGAAGTTGTTCGGCTGGCTCTTACGATTAGAAACGGAAGCATTAAGGTGGCGTTTGGTTCAAAGGCAAGTATGGGTTGGCTGAGGATGTCTTTAACCACCTGGTTAAGGATAGCCACCTTTTGTTATTTGGTTGAATGGAGTTGGCTGGGTTGGATAACCACATTTTGTTGTTTGGTTGGAATGATGAGTGTTAGACTATGTATAGCTTCTGTACCTATGTACGTATATGGTACATATTGTAACACAACCATTATATACAATGAGATAAGCCACCCCTAGAGGGTTGTGCTGATTCCCCAAAACTTATTGTCTTATATGGTATCACGCTAGGTTACGATCGCTTCCGCTTCTAAACCCTAATACCCGCACCGCCGCCGCAGCCGCCGCCGCCTTCACCGCCGCCGCCGCGCCACCGATCGCGCCGCCGCCATGTCGAGCGCCGCCACCACCGGTTCCACTGCTGCGGGCTTCCTCCCGGCCTCTCTTGCGGCTCTGCTCAACCTCCCGCTCGATGTCGTCTCTGTTCCGGCTCCGATCGGGACAAGGAGCATCGGCTCTGTCTTCTCCACGCCGCCGGCGCCCTCGCTTGGGCGTGACCTCGTGGTCCACACCGCGGCCCTGCCGTCCGCTGCGGACTCCGCAGGCGTCGTCCCGCCGCTCCTGCCGCAAGCGGATCACACTGCCCCGCTGGCGGGGTTGGCGGCGTCCGCCCCGGCCGCGGGCCTTGCGGCGTCCGCACCGGCCGCGAGCTTTGCGGCGCCCGCCCTGGCTGCGGTCCCGCCTCCTCCCGCATCGGCTTCGGTGCCTCCGGCTGCCTCCATGGTGTTTGCATCCCAGGCAGCCTCCTCGATGGGATTGTCTTCGCCGCCGCCGTTTCACTTCGGTCATCTCATCACCATCAAGCTCTCCGCCGACAACTACATCTTCTGGCATGCGCAGGTTCTCCCGCTCTTGGGTAGTCACTACCTGCTAGGCTACGTCAACGGATTGCTTCCCTGCCCACCCGCGCTGGTAGACAGCGTGCACGGTCCGGTCTACAATCCGGCCCATCGCGTCTGGACGGGGCAGGACCAGGCGAACCTCTCCTCCATCCAGGGGTCGCTCTCGCCGGCAGTTGCCGGCCTTGTTGTCTTCGCGAAGACGTCTCATGAGGCCTGGACCATCCTTGAGCGCACCTTTGCAGCGCAGTCCCAGGCTCGTGTCTCTGCACTCCGTCGTCAGCTTGGAGAGTGTCAGAAGCTTGACTCCACTGCCACTGAGTTCTACAACAAGGTCAAGGGCCTCGCCGACACATTGGCCTCCATTGGACAGCCCCTCACCGACTCCGAGTTCAACTCGTTTATTGTCAATGGTCTTGATGAGGAGTATGATGCCTTAGTCGAGATCATCAACGAACGGGGCAACTCGACACCCATGCTGGCACACGAGGTTTTCTCTCGGCTCCTTCTCACTGAGCAACGGGTCGAGACTCGCCGCACCAGGGGCACTGGCTCCCTCTCGGCCAACGCCGCCACCAAGGGTGGCCGCTCTTCTTCATCACCCCGGTCTCCCTTGGGGCTGCCACCGTC